GTCAGATGTATTATTTATGATATGTGCATACTCCTCTTTAATAATACAAACAAGCCCAGCCTCAATGATCTAGCTAGCTTGCCAACCACAGCTTTGCAGTCTCCATTTGCGTTGTTTGGTCAGTAGAATTGCCTCTTATGCAACTGAATTAAAAGAAGAAAATATAGATTTCCATATCAAAACATAGGCCAATACATGATGTTTCACTGTCCAGATGTAAAAAATAATGATTTACCAATAATTTACCAATCATTAATTTATTTAGTAACACCATCCTCATATGTTATATCCTACTATTAAAGATACTGTGCACTGTTAACCTTTGTAAACTGCCTGTCAATAGGCTACTGACTCCATCTACTGGCAGATTTTGCATTGCAATTGTGCAGTAAATCAACAACACCAGTGAATAACAGAGTACTCAAGATTGTTGAGTGTTCTCAGCTGAAAGACAGAGCTATCAGATTATTTTGTGATATGGACATGTGCCTTCTAAACAAAGTACCATGTGATTGCCAGTGCATGTGTTCTCCACAACATGGTCCTTATCCATGAAGGGATAACGGAGGAAATACCAGTGGAGGCCCCCACTGACCCTGCCCCAGAGCCCCAAACAGCAGCTGTTCGACAGGCAGCAATACTGAAGAGGGACAACCTGATGAGGCTGCTCTAAGCTACAACACACATCTACAAAAACACAGACATAAATACCCAACCACACACATTCACCCACCCATCACTGACGTCCACCTACCAAAAACAGTATAGTACATAACCACATTTAATCAATAAATTATTATTGGAATACATTAGAAAAATATTTGCATTTGTGTTATTTCAGTTTCTATTTGAATTAAACATGTTTCAAAACAATTTCAGTTAAACATACAGTCAAGGAAAATCTCAGGAGAATTCATTATTAGTGTACAATTAAACAATAAATAAATAAATAGATTTTGCTACTGTTCTTTGAAATTCTGGAGTGCAGCAGTAAACTGTTGAAGAATATCGTTCCTCTCACTCTGTGCTTGAAGTGTTTGTTTCTGAAGTTTTGCCTCAGACATCTCCTTTGGTCTTCTTTTTGGGTTGAGTGAGGGGAGTGGTGTTGGCATGAGGGTTATAAGGTGTTGTAGTAGAGGGAGAGGGTGAGAGGGTGTCAGTGTTACTGTAGCGTGCTGTGTGTGGGGTGTCTGCGGAGGTGCTGGGTTGAGTGACAGTGTAATTAGTATTGTGTGCTGTATGTTGTGTGTGTGTAGTGATGTGTGGTCCTCTGTAGCTCAGCTGGTAGAGCACGGCGCTTGTAACGCCAAGGTAGTGGGTTCGATCCCATACACTAAAATGTATGCACGCATGACTGTAAGTCGCTTTGGATAAAAGCGTCTGCTAAATGGCATATTATATTATTATTATTATGTTGATGTGGGATGCAGTGTGAGTGTTGCGAGTGGGGAAAAAATTATATAATGACTGCGGGGGTCACCGCAGGATCACCAGAGAGGACCTCCTCCATGATGGAGTAGAACTCCCACTTCCTTCTCCCTTGCCCCGTCTTCTGATGACCATCAAGGATGGCCTTGTACCTGTGTGACACACAATTTGGCATCATGAATGATCATTAACAATATTTACATGACACTAAGCAGCAGCTGCTGCTCTCTTTTTTTTCTGTGTGTGTGTAAGTAATTGAAATAGTGAGAGAACAAGCAAGCAATATAAAAGAAAGAGGACAAAGGAAAGAAAGAGGAGAAAGTCAAAGAGAGGTTGAGACATAGCAACACACACCTGTGCTTCAGACTCCTCCACTTCGCATTGCATGTCTCCCAGGTCACAGTATAACTTTTCTCTTGCAGCATTCGAGCTACAATTTCCCAGGCCTCTCTCTTCTTGATCACAGGGCTCTCAAATTTGTCTTTAGAATTTCTCCATGTATCGATCAGCAGCATTACAGATGAGTAGGTCCATTTAAATCCTGAAATACAACAAAATAAACTACATTAGATAACAGTTCGCCTAGCTAGGTTAGCTAACGTCAGCTAAGCTAGCTAGCTAGCTAGCTAGTGAGACGCGGCTGCTTAAGTTTCTAGTTAGCTAACATAGCTAGCTAGTTTCTCTGCTAAATACGAAAAAAGTAAATTGATCAACACAATAAAATATCATAACTAACAACATTCAACATTCGCTAGTGTTTAATTACAAATTAATTGACAAATAGTGCCTTTACTCACCCATAGCGCTTCCGCTGTTCTCAAAATGTTTGTTCGCATTACAGTTGAGTCTCTTATTTAGGTCCTTACTTGGATGGCGTGGACGGATCTCAATGCGGAGCTTGGATTTGACCATACGGTGATCAGTCCAGCATTCCGCCCCACGCATGGCTCGGGTCACTAGCACCTCCTTTAGGTAGCACTAACGGACAATGATGTAATCTAGGAGGTGCCAGTGTTTGGCGCAAGGGTGTTACCAAGAGGTCTTGTATTTGTCCTTCAACTAGAACATGGTGTTGGTGATCACCAGGTGGTTTTCGGAGCATAGGGAGAGTAGCCTCAGCCCGTTGCTGTTCATCTTACCCACCCCATGCCGGCCTAGTTCGTGATTTCTTGTTTCTTGTTTTTGATTATTATTTGTGTACTTATTTGACATTTTTGCTGCACTGTTAGGACCAAGTAACACAAGCATTTCGCTGCACTCGCTAACATCTTCTAAACTGTGTACGCGACCAATAAACTTTGATTGGATTTGATTTAGTCCCAGATCTGGTGTTCGGAATCCACCCTGGCATTGAAGTCTCCCATGAGGAGTAGTTGTCTGTGTGTGGTGTGTTTTGAATGGCAGTGTCGAGAGCTTTATAGAGGGCCTTCTTTGCTTCATTGTCTGCGTCCAGTGCCAACAGGGGATTCAGTGATGCGCTGGAGGAGTGAGGTTTTTCACAGCGAACATCTTCCATAACATCCTTCAAGAAGAAAGTGTAGCACTCACCAACCTCTGTGAGAGTCTTATCCATGTGAGCAGTTTTCACTGAGCGCTGCAATGTCGATGTTGTACTTCCTGAGTTCAGATTCAGATTCAGAGATTCAGTGTTTAATAGTCACATGTACAGTGTTGACGGTGTGATTGCAGGGTACAGTGAAAATCTTAGGCTTCGAGCTCCAACATACAGGACTTAGTAAAATAAAATAACAAAAATAGTCATAAAAAACAACAATAGAAATAGAAAAAGCACTATATACATAATACCAACTGTGGCAGTGAGGAATAAATAAATGTCCATTGGGGTGGAGGCAGAGTAAAGAATGTTGAGGGGGTGGGGTGGAACGACCATAGGGGGAGCAGCAGCATGACCATTGAGTGAAATAAAAACAAGAAACATTTTAATAAAACAATTTTTTAAAAGTAATAATCTGCAACAGTGATGAATGTCATTGGGGGTGGGGGCAGAGTAAAATGTCAGTTGGGGGGGGGGGGAATGTCCATGGGGAGGACTAGCGGGGGGATGCCCATAGGGGGAGTATCAGGGGGGGGGGGGGGAGCAGATAGCTGACTAGTTGTGTTTATTCAGCAGCCTGGTTGTCTGAGGGTAGAAACTATTGGCCAGTCTTCCAGTTTTTGCCATGATGCTCCTATACTGCCCGCGTCTGAGTGATTGAAGTGGGGAGAACAGGGCATGGCTTGGATGGCTGGGGTCCCTGATGATCATCTTGGCATTCCTGCGACACCTGGTGTTGTTGTAGGTATCCTGTAGGACAGGCAGTGTGCACCCAATGGTGTGTTCGGCTGCACGTATCAACCTCTGAAGAGCCTTGTGGTCTGTGGCGACAGTATGCTCTCGATGGTGCTCCTACGGTCGTTGTGTTCATGGGCCATGAGGGCTGGCATTCTGTGTGGATGGGGAAAGGGGGGGAGCAAAAAGCATGCGCAGGGAGTGCAGTCCCTACACCCACCAACTTCACTCCAGCCAGACAGACTCCAGTGGCCTGAGGTACTCACAATGACTTTCGTCTGGCCAGTGCTGCAGGGGACTGCCGAGATCCAGTTTGTCTGTGGAATGAATTCCCATCAAGCCAAATACTGCCACAGAACATGAATAACTGCAGTTTAATCAATTAAATAGGCAGAAAACACAATTTAGGATTTGATAAGAAAATGATGAGGGATGTATGTTCTCTAAACTTTGTGTGTAGTATTTGAATCCTCAGTTGTGTTTCTGTATCAACATCTGGGAATAAAAGGTGAGTATTGGGATATGACCTGTGGTTGTTGTTTTTCTACTGTTAAACCTTCCTAACAAACGATTAGTTAAAGCTAGGGTTTACATGGCTTCTTCTCAGATAAGAATGTTTGGCAACAAACATTATCTTAGTATGGTCTCAGATGTTGAAAACCAATCCTATCCATACACACACATATACGTTATCTGAGATTGCAGATGCTGTTAGATGTTGGATAATAGGATGCCTCCTGTGAAACGTTCTGCTTTGGGCAACAGTTTTCACATTACTCTCATATTACCATATCGCGTGTGTGTGTGTGTGTGTGTGTGTGTGTGTGTGTGTGTGTGTGTGTGTGTGTGTGTGTGTGTGTGTGTGTGTGTGTGTGTGTGTGTGTGTGTGTGTGTGCGTGTGTGTGTGTGTGTGTGTGTGTGTGTGCACATTTTATTCTCATATTATCAGATTGCTGGTGTTAATTTTAGATTTGTTATTTTTTGCTGCAGGGTGCTGCAGGTTGTGTGTGTGTGTGTGTGTGTGTGTAGGGCATGGGTGAACGCTGATCCACAAAATGAGATATCAGTGCATATCTTCAGGATGGTATTAAGTTGTAACAACACCAGTAACACTGTGAAACACACTGGCTTACATCCTGCTTTTGCACTAATGTTTAATTTCACACCTTAGTGCAGCCATGACATCCGTAACAAGGTTATATTTATCCTAGCATGATAGAACCATGCACTGACAGCTAAATCATGCAACTGACACAGTACGTACTGTAAATTCACCGTTTATTTACATTGTCAGTTTCTTATGGTATACTGTCAGCAAAACTGAAAGACATATAGTGATGTGGCCTTTTCAATTTACACAATTATGGAAAGTTACCAGATAGCATAATAGATACTTGATTATTATTTGTTTGAGTGATAATGTTTACAGTCTGACTGCCTGTTCTGCCTGTAGTCTGGAAGTCCAAGGCCTTCCAATTGAGCATGTCGCCGGGGGTGAAGTTAATCTGGTTGGTGCACCTCTGGATCTCACAGGGAGACAGCATGTAGTCCCACATGTGGACGTCTGTCAGCAGGCCAACAAATGACTGCTGCTGGTCGAAACGCCCGCTGAACGAATCCTGATCCTGAAACAGGAAACAACAACATGTTGTGTTCTGTAATGGAATGATTTCTTGTTCTTTTCAATGTTGGACGCTTTATTTTCAAGCAGTAAACACTATCTGCATTTTTCAACTTACATTTCATTTGACTTGGAAAAACAAATAGGTGCAAATTGTGCAAAAGTTTAAATAGTAGTGAGCAAACACAAAACCTCAAAACATGTCAAAACAAAATACGTTTTACTATCTACATATTTCATTGCAGTTATAACAGTGACTATCTTACCTTGAGTTACAGCACAGGATGTTGTAATCACCACAAGTACTAGTAGGAATTTCTCCATCCGGTAAGAATAAAAAAATGGTTATTTTGTCTTAATCAATTAACTTTTTCTAATGCATATGAAAAACATCTGCCCTGTATGCTACTGAGCAGAACAGTAATACACCATTTAGCATAGCTGTGATGAAAAACATTTGCTGTGTATGCTAATAAGCAGACCACTTTAGTTAGATTCAAGGTGCTGTTTATGTATTTTTTTAATTTATTTTTTTACCCTTATTTTACCAGGTAAGTTGACTGAGAGCACATTCTCATTTACAGCAACGACCTGGGGAATAGTTACATGGGGGAAGAGAGGGGATGAATGAGCCAATTGGAAGCTGGGGATGATTAGGTGGCCATGATGGTATGAGGGCCAGATTGGGAATTTAGCCAGGACACTGGGGTTAACACCCCTACTTTTACGATAAGTGCCATGGGCTCTTTAGTGACCACAGAGAGTCAGGACACCCATTTAAAATCAAATCAAATCAAATGTTATTTGTCACATGCGCCGAATACAACAACCTTACAGTGAAATGCTTACTTACAAGCCCTTAACCAACAATGCAGTTTTAAGAAAGAATACAATATAAAATAATACGAAATAAAAGTAACAAAGAATTAAAGAGCAGCCGTAAAAATAACAATAGTGAGGCTATATACAGGGGGTACCGGTGCAGAGTCAATGTGCGGGGGCACTGGTTAGTCAATGTAATTGAGGTAATATGTACATGTAGGTAGAGTTCTTAACTATGCGTAGATAATAAACAGAGAGTAGCATCAGTGTAAAAGACGGGGGGGGGGGGGGCAATTCAAATAGTCTGGGTAGCCATTTGATTAGATGTTCAGGAGTCTTATGGCTTGGGGGTAGAAGCTGTTTAGAAGCCTCTTGGACCTAGACTTGGCGCTCCGGTACCGCTTGCTGTGCGGTAGCAGAGAGAACAGTCTATGACTAGGGTGGCTGGAGTCTTTGACAATTTTTAGGGTCTTCCTCTGACACCGCCTGGTATAGAGGTCCTGGATGGCAGGAAGCTTGGCCCCAGTGATGTACTGGGCCGTACGCACTACCCTCTGTAGTGCCTTGCGGTCGGAGGCCGAGCAGTTGCTGTACCAGGCAGTGATGCAACCAGTCAGGATGCTCTCAATGGTGCAGCTGTGGAACCTTTTGAGGATCTGAGGACCCTTGCCCTTTTCAGTCTCCTTAGGGGGAATAGGTTTTGTCATGCCCTCTTCACGACTGTCTTGGTGTGCTTGGACCATGTTAGTTTGTTGGTAATGTGGACACCAAGGAACTTGAAGCTCTCAACCTGCTCCACTACAGCCCCGTCGATGAGAATGGGGGCGTGCTCGGTCCTCTTCTTTTTCCTGTAGTCCACAATCATCTCCTTTGTCTTGATCACAATGAGGGAAAGGTTGTTGTCCTGGCACCACACGGCCAGGTCTCTGACCTCCTCCCTATAGGCTGTCTCGTTGTTGTCGGTGATCAGGTCTACCACTGTTGTGTCATTGGCAAACTTAATGATGGTGTTGGAGTCGTACCTACCTGGCCATGCAGACAGGAGTACAGGAGGGGATTGAGCACGCACCCCTGAGGGGCACCCGTGTTGAGGATCAGCGTGGCGGATGTGTTGTTACCTACCCTTACCACCTGGGGGCGGCCAGTCAGGAAGTCCAGGATCCAGTTGCAGAGGGAGGTGTTTAGTCCAAGGGTCCTTAGCTTAGTGATGAGCTTTGAGGGCACTATGTTGTTGAACACTGAGCTGTAGTCAATGAATAGTATTCTCACATAGGTTTGACGTCCCATCCGAAAGATGGCACCCTACACAGGGCAATGGTTTAACATCAATTTGTAAAAATATATGATCTTACCTTGTGGGTTGTCAGAGTGCCTTGTTGGTGTATGTGAGGGAGAGAGCTGAATATTTATCTTCTACTTGTTTCCTCATTCATTTCTATCATCAGCAGTTATGACACAAAAAGGAAACAGGTATATTATACAAACATGACAGATATTATTGACAAAAACAGGTATTATTATTTACCAGTTCCCTTCCTCATAGAAATACTGACACATGAGGAAATAATAGAGACTTTTGCAACTTGAAAAGTTCTTACCATTTTTTGATTTCTTCTAGAAATTATTCCTAAACAGTGAATTCCACATCATGGTTTTCATTAATACTGTAGATATGTATTGAAGAACATAAAAATATAAATATTTATTTGACCCAGATGAACAATAGCAGTGACCAGTTTTGATATAACATTGATAAACGTGCAGCCCTAAGTACTTTACAAGCACTAACAAAACACATTCATAAAAAGAGCATTATACCAAGTACATACAATGAAAGAAAGGGAGATGAGGCTAAAACAACAGAAAAGGAATCAAACAAATCGACAGAACATTTAAAATATGTGTCACGACTTCCTCCGATGCTGCCTCTTCTCCTTGTTCGGGCAGGCTTCGGAGTTCGGTCCCTCATCGACCATTTCCGATGCAGCCTGCGTGAGGACATCTGAAGGGAGATAGCCTGCCGGGATACCACTCTGACCTTCAACCAACTGGTGGACATGGCCATCCAGTTGGACAACCTGCTGGCTTCGAGAGGACGTCCTGGAAGGGGCCTGCCCGTTTCACCCCCCCCCCCCCCTCTCACCTTGGCTCACGTTCCGATGGAGCTGGGTGGTGCAGCGTTCCGGGAGAACGGAGGACGACAGATCCAGTGTCACTCTTGTGACACAAGAAGACATTCTGCTGCACAATGTCATCAGAGTTCTTCTGGTTGTGGAGGCAGCAGGCAGGGCACTCTCGCGTCACCCCAGGAAGTGCAAACCCACACTCGTTCATAGCCCTCTGCTGCACATTTAACCATCCACGTCAACTTCCCTGATTACACGGTAGGTCCCCAGTGTAAGGTGCTGGTAGATTCAGGCGCAGCTGGGAACTTTATGGACAGGTCGTTAGCTCTTAGTCTACGTATTACATTGGTTCCCCTGTCCATTCCATTGCCCATCAAAGCACTTGACAGTCGACCATTAGGGTCAGGGTTTGTTAGGGAGGTTACAGCACCAGTCACTATGATTACGCAGAAGACCCATAAAGAGCAAATCACCTTTCATATTATTGAGTCCCCTGATTTCCCTGTTGTGTTGAGCCTTCCCTGGCTAGCACTACACGACCCCACCTTTTCATGGCCGCAGAGGGTTCTCACGGGGTGGTCGCGAGAGTGTCAGGGTAGGTGTCTAGCTGTTTCCGTTGGTGCGACCACGGTGGAAAAGTACAAACACTGCCTCCACTGTGTGCATTCCCCCCGAATACCTCGACTTGGCGTACGCTTTTTCCAAAACGCAGATGACCAAATTACCACCCCATCGGGTGGGGGATTGCGTGATAAACCTCAGGTTAGACGCTGTGCCGCCCAGGAGTCATGTATATCCCCTGTCGCAGGCTGAAACGGAGGCTATGGAGACATACGTCTCCAAGTCCCTACGTCAGGGGTTCATATGTCCCTCCACTTCACCCGCCTCCTCTAGTTAATTTTTCGTGAAGAAGAAAGACTGGGGTCTGTGCCCTTGCATTGATTACCGTGCACTTCGCTATAGCTACCCCTAATTTCCTCTGTGATCGAATTAATGCATGGGGCGTGCTTCTTCCCGAAATTAGATCTCAGGAGTGCGTACAACCTGGTGCGTGTCCGGGAAGGGGACGAATGGAAGACAGCAGTTAGCACAACCACGGGCCATTATGAATACCTGGTGATGCCGTACATGTTGATGAATGCTCCACCAGTCTTCCAGTCCTTTGTGAAAGAGGTGTTTCGGGACATGCTTGGTCGTGGTGTGGTGGTCTACATCGATGACATCTTGGTGTATTCCACCACGCATGCCGAGCATGTGTCCCTGGTTCGCAGAGTGCTTGGCCGACTGCTGGAGTATGACCTGTATGCCAAGGCAGAAACATTTCTGTTCTTCCAACAATCAGTCTCCTTCCACGGATACGACATCACCACCTCAGGTGTGGAGATGGCGGGAGACCACATTTCAGCCGTTCGTAATTGGCCGACTCCAACCTCGGTAAAGGAGGTGCAGCGCTTCATTGGCTTTGCCAATTACTATCAGAGGTTTATCCAGGGCTTTGGCAAGGTCACAGCCCCCATCACCTCTCTGTTGAAGGGTGAGCCGTTCCGGCTCCACTGGTCTGCTGAGGCTGACAGGGCTTTCAGTAACCTGAGGGCTCTGTTCACCTCAGCCCCGGTACTGGCCCATCCCGATCCATCATTGCCATTCGTAGTGGAGGTGGACGCGTCCGAGGTAGGGGTAGGCACTGTCCTCTCCCAACACTCGGGTATGCCACCCAAGCTCTGCCCCTGTGACTTCTTCTCTAAGAAGCTCAGCCCGGCGGAGCAGAACTATGACGTTGGTGATCGGTAGCTGTTGGCAGTTGTCAGAGCCCTGACAGCGTGGAGGCACTGGCTCGAGGGGGCTAAACACCTTTTCCTCGTCTGGACTGACCACCGTAACCTGGAATACATCCGGGCAGCGAGGAGGCTGAACCCTCGCCAGGCCAGGTGGGCCTTGTTCTTCACCCGGTTTGATTTCACGCTGTCCTATATACCAGGCACTAAGAACGTGAAGGCAGACGTACTGTCACGGCTGTATGACACAGAGGCGAGGCCCATTGACAACACCCCCATACTCCCGGCCTCTTGCATTGTGGCGCCGGTGGTGTGGACGATGGACGCGGACATAGAGCGGGCCTAACGCACAGAGCCCTCTCCACCTCAGTGGCCAGCTGGGC